TAACGGACATTTGCAGAGCCGCTACGTGGGCTGTGCCTAACACCTTCATAAGGCACTACGCCCTAGACGTCCGAAAGAACTCTAGTACCAACATGGGATGTCACATCTTCTCTTCGGCTATGCAGTAAGGACCTGCCAGCACCCTCCTCCAGGTAGGCCACTGCTCGCTAATCTCCCATGGGTGTGAAGCACAGAGACCATGTCAAAGATAAACAGGTTGCTTACCTGTAACTGGTGATCTTCAAGTGGTCATCTGTGCAATCACACCACCCGCCCTCCTTCCCCGCTACTGTCAGCTTCTACATTTTTCATAGGGGTTGATTTGTGGCGGTTCGAAGGAACTGGCGGGATGTCCGCGCCCATCCCTCTGGGCATGCATAGTGGGGTTCCTGCGCATGCCCGAGGTCTGGGCGCGAAAATCCATTAAGGGCTTGCTACAATGCCGATCGATCCAGCGCGTGCGCACTAGATCCCATGGGTGTGAATGCACAGATGACCACTCGAATATCATCAGTTACAGGTAAGCAACCTGGTTTTTTTCAATTTGACTGTCCATTTTTGTATCATTATTGTGAGATTATAAGCATTTTGTACATCATTACAGCTTCCACATTTTTGGTTGAACAGTAGCAAGCAGCCAGCCTTGGGGAAGTCATCAAAGTTGCCTAGCATTTGCTACCAGGACTGGCCCCAATGGGTCTTTCCCTGAAAATGCCAAACAGGCCTAGAAAGTGCCCTTCCCTGACAAAAACCAAGGCTCTCAATACTGTTGTGGTTGCCTAGCAACCCCCACAATGGCCATTGTCAGGAAATCCATTCCTTGAAGTTATAGGCGCTAGTTCTATTATGGGGGTGGGGGTGTTAAAACTCCCCGTGTAACTTTTTAAATATTTCAGATGTTTCTGCAAACCTGGAGCTTTCTTCAGGTCTGTAGAAAAATCTATCTTGTATGCTTATGGCTCCAATCTCTGGATTTAAGTGTCCACATGCCATGTTGAGAGATATAGATGTACCTGGGCTGCAGAGAAACAGGCTGACCACAGGTGTACATGTATGAACTCTTAATAAGGTGGCAGAATTGGAGTGGCTTGAAAATCTAGTTCAAAACACTGGAACCAGGGGGCACATACTATGCCAATCATTGTCTTTCTTCAAGCTTACTTTTAGCATTTACAGAGTGTCTTCCTATGCCAAAGGTGTAAAGCCTGAACCATCTGTCCTCATTCCTTCCAAGCCTATATCCAGTCCTGCATTCTGCTGAAGTACTTGAAGGCATCTTCCCTCCTAACCGAGATATTTGCAGCCTTTTCTCTCCCCTCCCACTCCCCCTTTCATTCTTTTTATCGCTTTACCACATTGTTCTACCGGTATGCAGAGAGAGAAGAGTGAAAGCCAGATCCAAGGGAGGAGACAGGAATCACTGGAACATGACTCTTGATTGAAAGCCACCATTCTGCCTCATACGCAAGAGCCCATCTCTCTGCCTCCCCCAGTAGGCTGGACTGTTTCACAGGCTATTTCAATACCAGATGGAAGAGCATCCTGGCACCAGCTGATATGTGTTCGAATGCTGCCAAGGGGAGTGGTCAGGAGGCCCAAATGCCAAACATTCTTCAGTGTAGCCAGCACACTAGCAGGTCCAACTTCCACACAAATCAACATATCAGAGGATGAAGAAATGCTGGCAAGTCTGCAAATCAGACTGAATTGGTGTAACTTAAGTCCACAGGCTGCTCATACGTAGGGTGAATTGCTTGCCCTTCCCTCATGTCATAAAGGAAGTGTTCAATCAACCTGGGAAGCGCAGCTCCTTCTGTCATATGTTTATCATCAATGCTGTCTCAAACAGGAGAGGATGAGTCACTTGGAATTTAGTCAAAAGTTTTGTGCAGGGAAAAAAACCCTTGGAGGATAAGCAAAACCACGCAATTTAAAAGCATTACCTTACACCAAACACATCGTTATCATACAACAAGTTAAACAATCCACTTGGTTTACCAATGTTCACCTACAGGATTATCATCATACAGTAGGTAGTGATCACCTAAAATCATTTGAGTGCATTAACGCCCTTGTCTGTCTGGGAGTTTGGAGTGAGAGTCAAAAAGTCCTGCTCCAACCCCAATGGCTTCTGCACATGACTAAAATCCACTACCAGGAAATCAAAATAATTTGAGAAGATTCTGGTATCTCACCATATGCTACGTGGTCATTAAGCTGAAAGCCACCCTTCCAACTACCATCAAAGGGGATATACACTCTTCTATCATGTCTGGGTCCACCTCCATCTAAGAGAACCCCTCTCCAGCCAAACCCAGCCATGGGACCATTAGCAGAAAGGCAAGAAGCTGCCAGCCCCTCCACCATGCCTGGATTAAGATCAGGCTCCAGCCCAAAATCTCCATCCATCTATTTACTGACTGCAACAAATAAGATCAGAGGGAGAGCAGGAAGCAACATGGCAACCTTTTACTTATACCCTGCTTCAAATGAAATCCTCCCTACCTCCAACTTCTAAGTCCATCCAAAGGACCATAGGGAGATGAGGAAGAATCCAGCATCCCTCCTCTGTGCCTGAATCCAGTTCACCTTTCATTTGCTTACCCAAGTAAAATGTTGTATGTAATTGTATTGGCAACAGGAAGTGCACAGCAATCAGTGACAAGAATCAACTGTAGCTTATGACATAGGTTGATATAGGATTTTCTTGGCAGCTTTAAGCAGGAATGATAAACACCGCAAATGAGGCTAGGCAGTGACTCCTATAGAACACAGTAACCTACCTGAAAGAGTCTGTGGCACTCCATTATCATGTGGGCCAGGCCTTGTGTTGCAGCTAAATTCTCACTCAGATCTCTCTGGTCAGGTCTCCCCGTGCTATATTTTCTCTGGCTGGATCTAAGGAAGAGATAGTAAATGACAGAATGTTCAAGTCACACCAGAGGCTTAGATGTGTCTTGTCTATACCTTTTCAAACTACAGAGGGGAGATTATAGCATTGATACCTCATTCAAAAAAATTCCTTCCACACAGATCCCATAAAACATTTCCTCAGACAGAAGTCTTTGCATCAGCAGAGTGCAACTTGTGTCCCTCCCCTCTCCAGCACCAGATGTCCTCCAAAACGCTAGTACAGAGGGGGGGGGCAAGGAAACCCTTCAAGAACAGCATGAGGTCTGCAGAGAGACAGTGCACACATCTTCCCCTTCTGTTAATGGCAATCCTCTGTGTGATCCAACCCTTACCCTTTTACCTTGACATCTAATTTATTATATGCAGTCACATAACCCTACCCTGACCTGCAGTCTGGAACTATTAACCACTTCATTGAGAAGTAGGCAAAAAAACCCAACCTAATACAGAATGCAGTGCAACTTGCCTCCTGAAATAGCCCTTACTACCTATACAGTGTTTCAACACAGCATGACATCTAATTTAAAATGATTTTACCAGAGCACTGGTCACTTCATATACACTGTATCAGTGCATCTTGCCTTTAAGTTACAGCTTGCTGGCACCTAAAAGGTGCCTTTTGAAGGAACTGGCACACAGGTAATAATCATTTCAACAAGACCCTGGGCCGCACAAAACCCTACTCTTTATTTCTAGTCACAAAAAACATTGTGGTTCACACTGAATGCAAAAGCTTTCAGTCTAGTCCTGTGAATTCTACCTATGGACTACTTACTGAGTCAAATCCTAATGTAGTAAAATCTGACTCAACACAGCCATTTGCATTTCAGTTGAATGAACAAACAGCTTTTGCTGATTTGCCTATCATCAGAAGTATTTGTTTAAAAGCCAGGCCAGAAAGCGAGGGAAAATACCAATAATATTACTCAAACACTTTCAATACCCTCCTAATACATATTTTAAGCTTATTTGTGGCATCGTGCCAAGCACACAGTTGCAAAAAGCCTGGCATTCATCTCTAACAACTTTATCTTACAACATTCTTTCTGACCATTTTAAACACAAGATTGCTTGATAAAGGTACTTGACTTTAATCCTTGAAGCCTGAGCTGTTAGACTAGGTCCCTTTGAAGTCCCATGCTGAAAATGAAATATTAGCAGCCTTTTATCTAACCCTTAAGGTTCAAAGCAACCTTGCAATTAAAACAATAGAGCAAGCCTTTTTAAACTAACTATACAGAGTTTTATGCAAATAAATAAATAAATAAATAAATGTTGATGTATAGGCCCTCCTCCAACCAGGTTGCTCTTCCAAAGATTATTCTTTGCACCTGAAACAACTATTAATTCTTCCAGTACATTCTTGGCTCTGACAATGTTTCACTCACTTACTATGACTGACAGTGCTATCATCAGCTCAGTTGTTGACTCATCTCTCTCCGGGGAATGCTGAGCATCACTGGACTTGTTTTATAGCCTGATACACATCTGGGATGTGTATTCTTTTTAAAAGCACATTCCTCACATGTTTTACTTCTCTTCAACCCTCTCAAAGATTTAGCTATCAGGTGTCAATTTTCATCAATACTTCTCTTTTAAGAAATAGAATTTGGTCCCTGAACATTAGTCTGCCACAGCCAAAAAAAAAAAAAAAGGAAAAATGAAAAATCCCCCTTCTTTAACATACCTATCTTCCCACTTCCCTCAGTTCTTTAGCACACATACAGTTCTAAAACAACTATCTGCAGCCAACAATTTGGTTTGGGATTTTTATTCCACCTCCCAGTGCAGCTCCTAAATTACTGATATTACTCGAAAGTAAAACTTTCTCTTCTCACCCTATGATGTGGTATACCAATCCCATGATGTAGGGTAGCTTGCTCACTTTACTTTACAGGAGATAAAGTCTCCCTTCCCTGAGTGTCTAAAGGCTGCCTGAAACAAAGATCTGCCAAAACTTCCCTCCACGGTCACCAGGCTTCAGAACACTTCCAAGTTTAAAGCAAGTCTGCCACCATTTTCTGGGAGCCACTGTAGTATAGGGGGCTGGAGTGCTTGATATTTACTGGATGGACCCTGAAATCCCCACAAAAGCACTCGGTGTCTCCAAGCCTAACTTATCTCAGAGGAGGGGACCCCATGTACACCGCCCTGAGCTATTTGAAAGACAGTCGGATAAAACTGGGATAGATTCTTTGTTTATATAAATTTACTGGTCATAAATAGAAAAATGTTTGAAAGAAGCAGCTCTCAAATGACTCCCTACAGCCCAAACAGGTCATTGGGGTGGAACAGTGTGGTTTCTTACCACATTCTGTGGTATCATAGGAACTTCAAGATCTCATGAAAGACATTAACAATGCAGTCCCACTCTAGCGCCAACCAATCTAAGAAATGGCCACAAGTTGCCTCAGTATGTACCACCAATGTCATGAGAAACAGTCACACTGTATTTCCTCATTACTTAGGAAACAAAGGGGAAGGTCCTTAAAAGGTACGCGCATAGAAAAGGCCAGCCCTGTATCTAGATACTCCTAGATATGCCTGCTAAGTAGCGCTTGAAAATGCCGTACCAGCATTATTAGCCCATACATCTAAAAGTTCATTCCCAGTAGGCTTGCCAGTTCCCCGCTAGGGTCCCCAGATTTGAGATCCCCCACCCCCGCTTTTTAAGAATTGGCCGGCAGGGGACAAAATGGTGGCCATGTTGTGATGCTCTAGCATTAGCCATAGAGACGAAGGCTAGAGCACCCCAGGTCTCTGACCGTCGGCAGGCACGTCTGGCTTCAAAGAGTGTAGTCCCGGCATCCCTCATTTGATGGCCAATCTGCTTGTTGGCCACCTGCATCCCTCCCAAGCCAATGCCAGCAGACCGAGGTGAGTCCCAAGCAGCAGGCGACCATCCCCTCGTCCCGGGCTCATGTGGCAGCGGCACATGCTGCGCTTTTTTGAGCCATCATAGTCTAGGTGTGCCCTCACTGGCACCGCAGGGAAGAGCTGGGACTGGAAGTCATTTAACCTGCCCATCCTGGCCATGCAGCATGCTCTCGGGGTGGGCGGGCAGTGGTGGTGGGGTTTGCCAGACAAGTGTTCCCTCAAAGGTGAAGGAGTTCAGAGTGCTGAGTGTTTGACTGCTCTGCTCTGGGCAGTAGTGGGCTGGCTTCCCTCTCTGCAGCCAAGGCCAGCTAGCAAGGTGGCAGAGTGGCTCTTCCTCGCTGAGCACCACGTGTTGGCATGCTCCCCCCCCCCGTGCTGGCGTGCCAGAAGAAAGGCGTGGGTGGCAGTGTGGATGCAGTGCTGGAGCGCTCCAAGGCAGCTTCGGTTGTGTCACTGGGTCTGCCAACCCAGCCTCCCAAGAGCAGTGAGGGAAGGGGGAGAGAGAGCACACCCGGCCTGAAGGAAGGGAACTGCCAGGCCAGCCCACAAGCCCTGGGACCCCACCCAACAGCTGCTCTGCAAAAGCGCCTGAGAGGGACAGAGGGAGGGGGCCAGCCAGAGCTTCCCCTGTCCACTCCAGCACTCCACCCGGCAGACAAAGGCGCACCTTTACCTGCCTGGCGACTGGGACTATCCAGCCTCCCTTCTCAAGCCTTGGTGCAGAGAATCCTGTTTTTCTCCGCCGGGTGCCCCCTTCCCCTGCAAGCTTTTTCTGGATCTCTTCCATTCCCCCATTTTAGGGAGGGATAGTTGCTCTTGGGACCTTCCGAGGACTTTCCTGCTCCAGTCTCAGGCTGCAACCTGCCTCCCCCCCCCCCAAGCCCATCCCAGCCCTTGCCCTCAAATTGTCCTTATCAAAAAACAGAAGGGTCAGGTGTCTAGGGTTGTTTTCTGTGCAGGTAAAGAGAGCACTGGAGGCAAGTCGGCCGGTGAATTTTAATCTTCCATCCAAAGCGTGCCCTGGAGTGGGGACAGGGTTTCCAGGTCTGGGTTGGAGGTACTTGGGAGATTTTGGGGGTAGAGCCTAAGGAGGGAGGGGGTTGGGGAGGGGGTGAGATTTCAAAGAGATGCCAAAGAGTCCATCCTTCAAAGCATCCATTTTCTCCAGGGGAACTGATCCCTGTCATTTGGAGATCAGTTCTAATTCTGGGAGATCTCCAGGTCCCACCTGGAGGTTGGCAGTCCTGTTTACTCCTCCAACATCTGGACCTTCAATGTTCATGCCCCCCTCCAGGTTACAGTCCCATAGTGACTTTTCTTCCCCCCTCCCCCAAACTTTAATTACTGTCAGCCATGCCTCGGGTGCTTTCTACTTCATCCCTAACTTTCCTTCTCTAATCTGCTCTTTCAAAGCTCGGGACTGTTTAGCCCTCCACCACCACCAGTTTTTTACTTTCCCTAAGAACTCGTCTCTGTGTGACTTCTCTGCTCCAATCGGATCTGCACAATTTAGAATATTGCTCTATTGTAATGATAATTCACATCCTGGATTTTTTCCCAGCATTGTGCTCTACCCACATACACACCATGTCCTTTGCCACTAGTGTCAGTGGATTTTCCACAAGTTTGGTCCCCCCTTCTGTCTTCTCTTTGGACTTTGTGTTTTATGCCTTAAGCTTATCCCCATATTTGATTCATTTTGCCCTAATCTTCTGATACCTTGTTCCTCTGCTGGCTATTTCTTTTCTAGAAGCTGAATGCTCTTGAGGCATATTTGGCCTTCACACATACTGAACAATGCACTTCACAACTGGATTTTACTGAAACGGCAAAACCCACTTGCAAATTATTGTTAAAGTGCATTGAAAATGGATTGAAAGTATAGTTTTCAGCATGTGTACACAGATTGTGTCCTTTCTAAATTAATGCTCTGCATTTTCCATCTATCCTGCTACATCTCATTATTCAAACAGTCCTGAGCACCATACCTCTGATCTCCTGTTAAGGTCAGGATTATCCACTCTGTTTAAATTGCACTCTCGTTCTCATCATATTCCTGCAGTCTTTTTCTTCCCTCCTCTCTGTTCCACTCTCATTTGATGACTGACCCTGGCCAGATAATATGAAACTTCTTAATGAATTCTGCTTCAGGAGTTTCACACTGGAGTCTTCCTTTGAAGTTATTTTATTGAAGGATGGCAGCTTTCATAGTAGTAGTGCTTTGTCGAGGGAGAATGAAATGTTCCCCCACTGATTTCTGAGTATCGTGATTTCTAATGTCAGATTTGCATCTATTTATTCTTTTCTGGAGGCAGCAACCTATTTGTCCAAGGTAGGTAGCAGAAAGGCATTGTGTTGATCTTTTATGCGATATATTACTTTGGAAAGTTAATGAATGAGTCAGAGACAATAGTGCTGAAGTTATTAGATCCTGTGAACATGTTGCCTGAGTGTATATGGGGAAATAGCATCTCGTTAGAGATGTAACCGTTTTGGAAATCTTGAAGCCATGGAAAAAAATATTTTTCCTAGATGGTATATTTTTTGTTGCTGTAACACCTTAAAGTATCATTTATCACATAGTATATTAAATGGTACTCCTTTGGCATATTTCTTGAATACAAAAGCATCAGTGCCCTGTTTTCTACAAGCAAAAGGGAGCTGCTGACTACTGCACCCTGTGCTAACACATACAGCTGCCTTATACTGAATCAGTCCATTGAGGTCAGTATTGCTGACACAGGCAGTGACTCTCCAGGGTCTCAGGCAGAGGTCTTTTCACATCACCTACTGAATGAGTTGTTCAACAGTGGAATCAGCTGCCTAGGGAGGTAGTGAGCTCCCTCTCACTGGCAGTCTTTAAACAGAGGCTGGACAAACACTTGTCAGGGATGCTCTAGGCTGGTCCTGCATTGAGCAGGGGGTTGGACTAGATGGCCAGTATGGCCATCCAGAGGGCAGCCCCCCTGCTGGAAGTGACATCAGAAGGGGTGGAGCTTGGGAAGTGACATCACTTGACCTTTGACCTGGAAGTGGCATCACGGGATGTGACATCACAAAAGTGATGTCACATACTTTCTCCTGTCTCCACCCCCAAAATCCTCACATATTTCCTGAGTTGGACTTGGCAACCCTAGTTCCCATTCCTCATGTCCCCACAGCCTAACTTTATATCCTTATTTCAAAACCAAAGCCAGTGCCTGGAATTGCCTCAAGGAATGCAAATGCATTTGCAAGAAGTTAACATATAAACGGAACAGGTCAGCAACAACACTACTTAACAATAGTACAGAACAGCTATGGAATGTTGTTCCCTAAAACACCAGCAGCGCGAATACCTAAAGATTAATTATGATATAAAATCACACTAAATTGCTACTAATGAGAGAGCCATAGAGCAAAACATTTTCTCTTCCAACTGTTTACTGTATTTTGTGGTGCAGAGTTAACAGTGGATATCATGCCTTAAGTCAACCAGGTAAGGAAGCACTATCACATAGTCAGAATTGTATCTGGCACAAAAAAGTAATTACATTCTTATAGGCCTATGATCTGCACCTGGACACAGCCAAAACTGACAAGACAACTGGCCATGCAGCATGGAAGGCAGAACCTCACTGTACATGAAGCAACACAACACCATATTCACTTCCTGCTCATGTTGACCACCAACAACTGAATGTTAAAAATGGCAATGTATTTTTCTTCTTGCATATCAGCACCATTACATGGTCATCTTATTTAAGCAAAAATACCTAGATGATGAGGAACTTTCTCTTCTCAGGGAATTAAGGTGAAACAAAGATGGTGCAAGGCAGACAGCAAGATTGGTAGGTGTCATTTGGTTTTCCTCGACAAAAGCTACTACATCCCTGAGAAAGAAGAGTAGAATTTTCAAAGCTTCACGATTTTCATCTGGAAGCAGAATAGCAGCAGCCTGGACAGCACAAAATTGCTGATCTTTAGGCAAATCTAGAAAGAAAAAGAGATCCCAAATCATCTTGTCTATGAATTTATATTTATTATTTAAGCAGAACCCACTTAGACCTCATTTCCATGCATCTATCCTTACAATAGGGACACAAATCAGGAAAACAGGAGTGCACATAAGAATAACCACCCTACCTATACTTTGTCTTCCCTTTCTTAATTGAAGATGAAGAAGAGGAGGAGGAGATTGGATTTATACCCCGCCCTTCACTACCCAAAAAGAGTCTTAGAACAGCTTACAATCTCCTTTCCCTTCCCCTCCCCACAACAGATACCCTGTGAGGTAGGTGGGGCTGACAGAGCTCTTTGAGAACTGCCCTTGAGAAAACTCTCTGAAATAACTTGTGACTGACCCAAGGTCACACCAGCAGCTGCATGTGGAGGCGTGGGGAATCAAACCCGGTTCTCACAGATTAGAGTCCATGCTCCTAATCACTACACCAAACTGGCTCTCTTTATGTTTTAAAGATGCATTTAAATCATTTAAATCATACCAAAGTGGAATTATGAGTGGGTAGGACTACCAATGATTTGTACCATCATTGTCTAAAACAGGTTAGGATTAGTGTTGCCACCACATACATTGGTAGATGTTAAGGAAGGATTCACAGAGTTTGCTGGTAAATATAGGTTCTGGAAGGTCTCGGAAATACTGTTTCACCATATCCGCCACATCAAATGCTGACTGCCCCTCATAAGTTACACTGTGAGGGTCATTTTCATTCATTTCCCGTAAGGAGAGGATCCTTGATTTCACACCGGATTTTCTGAAAAGGCCAACCTATGAAAGTGAAAACAAAAAAGTAAAGATCCAACCAATGGAAAAAATCCCATTGGCCCAGATATGATATACAACTCTGACAAAATTAAGCTTTCACAAGCTGTGTAGCAGCTTTGTTAATAAAGTAAAAAAGATTGGATCATAAATTCTTTCATCTACAGCATGATATGCACCATATTGAGCACTCAAGGTTGACTAATGCACACAACTTCTGTTTACCCTCTCCCCTCCCTCAGAGCCTACAGCTGGGATATGTGAACTACCTATGCACAAAAGTATTGGGTCTGAGGTAAGTTCTGTCTGTGGTGTTTGAACTATGATGATTGCTTTACTGAGGCTTTCACATGAAGTTTTCACATGAAAATTCAGACACTGAGCAATGAGCATGCACAGATTAACTCATTTTCAGACTATATGTATAGCAGCATTTATGCTGACTTTTACCCCCTACAGTAATCCTTTGTACAGTTAACCACACACAGGTGCCTTTCTGCCCACTGGAAGAGTGCATTCAGATTTTCCTGAAACAATGCATATGCTCAGGTGTTACAGATATGGGGTTACAGATAACTGGTTTGTGCAAAACCAGCTTCTGAAATTCCTCCAATACATAGGGTAAAACCTTGAGAGTGCAATGTGAACTGGCATGGCCTTTGTTCTCCTCACAACACTAAAAATAAATTACCTGAATAAATTGGTGAAGTTCATATGTTAAATATTTATTATTATTTCATTGGACTTACGAATTGCCCATCCTGCAAGCAGGCTCTGGGTGATTGTAAAACATTTAAAAATGCAATTAATGTATAATTAAGAACAGCAAGAGGAAGAGTAAATTAAACCAGTCCAAGATGGCAATACAGTTCTTCCTTTGCTGGCCACACTGTTGTCCCGCAGGGCAGGGCAGGGCATAGAAAAGAAATAGGTGTGAGGGGGAGACACAACGATGGCCAAAGAGAGGAACATCACAGAATATGATTCCTATTTAACACACTAACATTCACAGGGAAAAAATGAGAAAGCACAGTGCTAGTAAGGGGACGGAGATTTGTGGGCTACATTGCACATCCTACTTGCAGTTACAGACTGCGAAAAGAACTGGTATGTACTAAACCCATGAACTAAGTTGTTTTTTATACAATACCTGGTCAAGAAAATTGTCTCTTAAGTAGTCCATGGCCTGGAGTATGCTCCTTGGAAGAGGATGACCTGTTCTCTGGACATTTAACAATAATGGTACTCCAAATACATTTTTGTCCTTATAATCAGGGGCTTTTATTTTTCTAATGAACTTCGGAACAGTCCTGAAAATACAAAGTAATTCATTAGCCTACTGTGTCTTATGAAGAATTCAGAAACTGAAATTGGCCACTCAGAAGTCACCACAGGTTGCAATTAAAGTTTTCGGTAATAAACTTCAAAATGTTTACAAGAGGACAACTAGTTCACAGCAAAAGAGAAATACTACTGGAACTGTTCTGTTTGCCAGCATTGGCATTTTGTTGGTATACAAGACCTTTTAAAAGAAATTATTTCTCTTCGTTCTCACATAATCTCTTTTCTGTGTCATATAAATAAAACAAAGTCTGAAACACCTTACAACTCCTGTTTAAAAATCACACCCTAGAGGGAGTGAATCTACACATCAGGATGAGGCTTCAAAGCACCAAATTTAGTCCCCTTGCTGCAAATCTCTCTTTTTTGCAAGCAAGAAAGTTAGTATAACTAAACTGTAATTTGCTAGTTTATTTACTTAAAATATTTATATTCCATCTTATCTCTGTAGACTCAATGCGACAATAATTTTCAAGAACACATGATCACCATAGCAAGATAAAAACAGAACAAACCAAATCTGTGAAAACAAACTATTCTCTACCAAATGCCCTCTGAAATAAAACTATTTCATTTTCCTTCCTAAATGCAGCAAATGAAGGCACCCTCAAGGCACACTCTAGTAGACTATTCCAGAGGACTGTGCCAACTACAGAAAATGCCTGTGACCTAACTGTTGCCATACAGGTAATCCTAAGAGAGAATACCATCTGGAGAACAGCTGCAGAATGTAACCAGCACATGGGAGTATACTGGGAGATTGTAGTCTGATAACAATGAGGGCCCTGGGACATGAAGGGCTAATAAAGGGTTAGAAGAAACATTTTGAATTGGTCCTAGAAGAAAATAGATAACTGGTGCATTTGAGTTCTGTATTCCAAGCAACTGACCCCAGACAGGAGTCTCACTACCACATTTTGTACCAATGGAAGCTTCCGGGATATCTTTAAAAGCAGCCCCATACAAAGCGTGTCAGAAGTAGTCCAGTCTGGAGGTAATGGTAGAGTGGATCAGCATGGCTTGGTCAGCAGAGTCTAAATTGGTGGATAGTTTATGAGCACAATGTAAAGATACCTCCAAGCAACATCACTGAACTGCTTATCCATTAACAAGGTTGGGTCCAAGAGCACATCCAAGAGCTCTTAACTTGATCTGCTAAAGAGAGCTTAACTACCTAGGTCTGGTAGATAAACACCATCCATACAATCTACCATTTATTTATTTACTAAAAAGTTTCTATGCCTCTGTGGTTCAAGGCGGCTTGCAGTTATTCCAACCAGCACCAGCTTTGCCTTGTCTAGATTAAGTTTCAGCTTGTATACCCTCATCCATTTGACCCCAGCTTCAAGAGTCTGGCCAAGTAAATAAACTTAAGAACTACCTGAGGGAATTTTATTACTGAACCTCTACAGATATCCTTAGGAACAGAATATGGTTTAGGAGGAAGCCCGTAGTGACCTCTGGTTACAAATAATATTCCATTTCAAATACAAGATCTTAAGATAGTTGATTACATTACTTCAGAAAAAGTTAATCTGGAGGAAAATGGGTTGTTTTTCATCTTAACTTACCAGTTCCATCCTTGCTTGCTGGAAGGAGTGTATTTGTCCATTAAAGAAGTCAGTTTTAATAAAGCAAGCTTCTGTATTCGGTTTAGGTGGGCTGCTGACTGTCTGTCAAGTTGTATAGAAAGATTTTCCAAATTCATGCCTTCCACAGGTCTGGAAAAAGAAGTTTGTATATGCTTGGTGCTAATGCTCTTTATCCCAAATACTTCACTCTTTGTAAAACTACAGAGCTCATAGATAATTGCTACTGATTGACACTAATTCCTAAGTCAGTATACTATTCTGGAAAGCAAGCATCAAAATCTCAAAGCACTTTGCTCAGTTAAATTTTTCCAAACACCACCAATTAGATGAAGCAAGCTTTCACTGCACTGATTTAAGTCAGACCAATTAAACCATTTTTAAATTGAGCAAAAAATGTAATGAGAACTTTACAAAACAAGTCCTAACTTTCTGATCCAAATAGTAGACAAATGAAAACTTTTTCTAGGAAGATATAATTGCCTAGTACTTCCAGAAATTGGTCACAAATTTTCTATCCTTTCTAACATCAGTTACATGCTGTTCATCTCAACTCTCAGTATAAAGTCAAAGACCCACGTTGCTTTATATACCAAGCTGTACCCAATGTTCAAAAGTTTTTGAATTTTTATCCTATCAACACACAAAAAGAGCAATATACGTGTTAACTGCTGAAATCATTCTCATTATATATTATTAATCATTACAATAGTTCTATAAAGTTAGATCACTGCCATAAGCCACACACTGGACTGAGGTCAAGTGGCAAACTATCACTGTTTGTCCTGGTGTAAGGTCACTAAGTATGCACAGCTGACCTAACTTCTTGGCTCAGAGCTCATGCTCTTTATCAGTATGCTACAGCAGCCTTTCCCCCCAGATATTTATTTTTTGATTCTTGGCAACCCCAAGAGATATGCAGCTGACCTGATAGAACATGATGGTGTCAGTCTTATCCCTGATTCTGTTACACAGGCCAGTTCTGCAAAACGATCCTCACTGGCACTCTTGCAGTCATCTTCTCCATCAATGATGGGCAGTTCCACCAATTTCTCCTCCGAATGCTTTTTAATCTCGAGATGGATTTCCTTAGGGGATGATGGGCATGGAGAAGCGGATTGGTTGGAGTGACTGGCAGAGTCCGAGTCCCCATCATCAGAGAATTTCTCTGACCACTGACTGACCAACTTCCTGAGCCCGTTAACATGTTCCATAACATTGTCTAGTTCTGTAAAAACATCGTCATCTCCCGTGTCTGGTGTATCCATTTTGTTAATATGGACAGGACTGCCAGGTACATTGTCATATATGCTCAGTCTGTTATCTATCAATGAATGAGAGCCCGGTGGTGTTTCGGAGCCTTGAGAACCCATGTGAACCCTATTTCTGTGGCACCCATGAAAACTCCCAGTTCTCCAGTTCACTGCAGTGTTGTCTAGCGGAGATAAAAGGCTGTAAGTCAGTGCTTTGGGGAATGTCCCAGGCTTATGGCCTTGTGGCACTTGAAACACTTTATTTTCATGCAAATATATCTCATTTTTCAAGTTATGCTCCGAGAGATCATTCCACACAGAAAGCTTGCTGGCATCAAAGCCCTCTGCATACATCCCTCCTCTGCTACTGTGCCTCCTGGCTTTGATAATAGGGCTTGGGGTGCTCACAGTACTGCTGTTTTCAGACTGGCTGCTGCTACTGCAGGTCTGTGGTGAGTAAGAGGAGGACTGCATCATCGGGATATTGGACATGTCACTGATATTCACACAGTTGAGGTTTCTCAGCTTTTCTTCAGTTAGTCCCTCTAATAGAATAGGCTCAGTGATCATAGGTTTGGCCTTTGAATTAGGCTCTCTCTTTAGACTGCTGCTTCTTATGCGCAGCTTCTCCATTTTCTTCAGGAAGCTCCTTCCCTTTTTGTTGGATGGTTTATCCAAAAGCTTGTCCTCACTGATTATATTCAAGGTTTCACAAGGAGACGAAGAGCAACTGAAGGTAGAGTCGGGAGATGCCAATTTATTTGAGGAACACATGGACGAACTCCTGCTAGTCTCCACCTCCTCAAAAGTCTTTGGGAAGCTGATTAGGTCACTATCACCACTGCTAGTACTGTGAACTGAAGACTCATCATTTCTCTCCCCACGGTCAGAAAAGGCTATATCCCCACTGCCAATGCTCTTAAGCCTCAAACTGTCAGCTACCGAAGCTCCAAAACCTTCTAAACTCTCAAGACGAGACCATCTCTGTGTACACTTCTCATAAGTCCACTTGTTACTTAGTGCACAAGGTTCATCCTCCTCAGATTCATCGCTCTTAAAGAAAAGAAAGATGTTTAAAACATTAAGTATGAATGATACGTCAATTATAATTAGTTTATGCCCCCCTACTTCCAGGAGCAGCCCTCCCCACCCTACGGCCTTGAAAAATCACAGCCACAGGAGTGGCGTTCCACGGAGGTGTGAAACGTCAGTGCCGGGAAACACTCTGTATGCATACACAAACATCCTCTTTGAAGCCCAACTACTGTACGCTAGTCCAATAGATTTTATCAAGATTTACCAATTTTTAAGGGATTTGGATATTTTTCAAAGCATTCACCCTAGTAGAATCAGCCTGATCAACCGCCCTGCAAACACCCTGCCTAGGAAATTGGCAGACAGGACATCCTGTATCCAAGAAGGACATCTGGCTTGTTCTAATTAAAAGTAGTCCTTTAAACCACTGTAAGCTGTATGCCAATTGTGCTTTTCATTAAGCTTCCTTTTAGTTTAAACCAATAAAATCAAAATGGATACTCTAGAATTACACTCAAGGTTGGTTCATCCATTATTTCAGTGGCATAGGGGCTGCACTTTCCCCCAAAGCAGTAGGGTAATGCAAGCAGCATTGGAGCGTGCAAGGAGAGCCCATGCTACATCTCCTCCTATGCAAAAATCAGCCCTCCAGAAACTGAGTTAATGCTAGTTTGGAGAGCATGATCTAGCGCTTTTCATATTACCCAGAAACAGATCTGTAAAGGCAGAGTAAGAATCAAGTCTGAAGGCATACAGAAGAATAAGGTGGCCAGTTTCTCAGCATAAACTTCAGCAAGTAAGGAATGCGATTTTTGAGTGCTCCCATTGTAACAAACTATCTTGTAAAAAGTTGGCAAATGGGGGGGGGGAGCTGTTCTAGCACAACCTATTTCCTGCTGTGCTGTTTTCTGGTTGGAGATAGCTTTTCCCATAGGGAACTGTTTTAAAATGTGATCCTTCACATGCAGTCTGAACTGATATAGTCCACTATACATCTCAGGATTCTGCCACCTTATGTTGTCCTGCATGCCTTTAATACTGGGACATGGTATGCAGATGATACACATGAAGCAGATGGCTCAACTCCCAGCTCCACCCAATTGCTCAAGGTATGGTAACAGAACTCTGGAGTACTAATCAATTCACAATAACTTTGTTTTTACTGACTGTTACAGGTGGATCCTTATGTTTTAGGACAGACATTGGCTTGTCCTGTTTTTGAATTTGAAGTAAAACACAGAGCTGGGCACAGTATCCAAGACTGGGGGCAGAGGAGAAAGAGAGAATGAGCATAAATATGTCACACCTTGATCATCCATCAGTGGGGGAATTAATGAATAATTTGCCCAAACTGACACCTCTTCCTTCCTCTTTGCACCTCACATCATTTACAAGTCATGCATGAATATCATAGGATCTTAAGGAAAAAGTTTATTGGTCAAAGCCTCCTTTGGCAGAAGCTATGAATGGACACTCCACTTTGATTGATCCAAAAAGGGACCCTGCCCTAATAACTCTAAGAAATATGGGTGCCAAAGAAGCCAGCTTTTATCTCTTTTTGCCAGGCCCAGACACCAGATGAGGGGAAGGCTGATCCATTTGACCAGGCATGGAGACATGGTGAATATTTTATTTAGTTAGCAAGAAAATAAATTTTACTTTTTTCCTGTACTCTGTAATTTCCCTCTTTAGATGTTTCCCTTTTTCTTTTTGCGCACACAGAAATAAACCTGTACAATGTGTACTTTGAGAGACTTGCTGGATTATCTCCCACACAGCCAGCTGCTTTTAGTTCACTCTACTCACTATGTAGTCCTGAGAAGGGCAGAGTCGGGGAAATCCTGCTCTTTAGTCACACAAGGGTGCAGCCCCACATTCAAAAAATACGGACTTTATTTCCCCCAGGTGGTGCCAGGGAACCTACCAAAGGCATCCAAGAGGGCTCCACATGTACAAAATAGCTAGCTGGAATCACAGAAACATAGAGCTCTAACACCAGATACAGTTACACTGACTACTCAAATAGCAATGAATTTCTTGATAGATCTTATTCTCATGAGCCAGTACCTTTGGTATTATAAAGCTTAGTTTTTTAAGAGCAGAAAAATTAGTTTAATTTGGACACATACCCGCTTCCTTTGCCGATTTATTTCCACTTTCATTGCTGCACACTTATTCAATGTATGTAAACGCCTAGAAGAGAGACAAACAAATTGACACCTTTAACTCAGAATGGTACTCAAAATATTTAGGCCACATATGAAATGATATTTTATAACCAAACACTCAAAATATTTAGGCCACATATGAAATGATATTTTATAACCAAACACTACCCCTCCTTCTGCATTCTTTTCTCATGGCCCACTGAGGGCTGTCAAAACCAGGTGTTCCTTCATAATGCACAAATTGTCAAGTCAGGATCAAAAACCTGGCAAAGCTCCTCAAATTTTGGTCAGAGGTATGGCTTGGGGTATTCACAAACTATTATGTTTACAAAAAATGCTACGTCATTATGTGTTTTTTAATAATGTTACAGGGAACAGCAACGTAGACAACACAAAATGGAATTTATTCATTCCACGTTAGGGTTACATCAAGTAGTCTTGATTGAGCTGTGTCATTTCCTAGGAAAGGTGACTGATTTTTCCATAACTGCTGATGTCTAGGCTTTCATTACCCACTGATGAACACCAGGCACTCCCCTGTCTTTCCATTTCTGTACAGGAACTGATTCAGAACATGGTTGCAAAAAACCTCTCAAACGATTTATAAATGAATACAAATGTTGCCAGTCCACACCCAACTCCCAAAGACACATTTCCCTTTTTATCTTCAGCAGCTACTGATAAAGTAACAAATGCCCACATAGCATTGGATACATATTGTCTTCAAGAGATTTCTTAAGGAACAATATTGTTGTGTAAATTGACTGCAATTAAGCAATTACAGTGGCACTCCCATGGGGTGGGTGTGAGTAGAGGGCATTGCATAATATTTGAGAGAGCTACACTTTTCTTATTAAAATACAGAGCACACCTATAGAAGTACAGCTGCTCTGGCAAAATGTCAAGGTATCTTTTGTGCCTGCAGCACCAAAGCAGTCTCCAGAAGAATGTCAATACCTACTTTTACAAATGGTGCTTCCATTACTTGTTGTATCTTGTACTTAAATTAGGCAGCCTATACATCTGACACCCTAGAAAGTTAAGTTGGTCAAGCGAACCTCTAACAAAGGTTCCCAAACTTATTTAGCCTACCACCAAAAGGCTGCTTTAGATAGGTTCTGGACTATTCTTCCTTTATGCTTCCACCACCCCCTTATTTGTATTTAGCACCCCCCCCAATTGCACCCAAGGCTCCAACCGCCCACCTGAATAGTTCCAGCACCCTCAGGGGGCAGTATTGCCCACTTTGGGAACCAGTGTAAGAAGTGATACAAAAATAAGCATGTTGATGAAGGTGGTGGTTTAGGTGAAAAAAATAAAAAGTTGGTTCATTGCCCAGTAAGGTTGCCAGGTACTACTTTTCTGCCAGCGGGGGGGGGGGGGGGCGTGTCGGCAGCACCCACATGTTACCAGAAGTGTGGTTATCCAGCCACACCCACCTTTTGCTTGTTATTCTGTTTACCTTGTTTGTTGTCAAAACCCAGGGCCTTTTTTGTAGCAGGAACTCCTTTGCATGTTAGGCCACACACCCCTAATGTAGCCAATCCTAATGAGTTTCTGCTGTTGGGTGTGGCCTATTATGCTAATGAGTTCCTGCTGGGCGTGGCCAACTCAGGATCCAGCCGGAACTCCGTTCCTGTGCGTTCCTGCCCAAAAATAGCCCTGGATGTAACCCAGAAGTGACGTCATCACCCCTCTGCCATCACATGGCAACACTCTAGTTCAGGGGTGTCAAACTCATTTGTTACGAGGGCTGGATCTGATATAAATGTCTTTGTCGGGCAAGGACATGTGTGCCATAAAACGTAATGCCAGGTACCGGAGATATAAACTATAAACTCCAAGTTGTTGTATTCTCACTGCAAGGCCCCACGGGCTGGGAGAGGGATGCAAAGGAAAACCCATAAGGGTGGACTGGGCAGATGTTCCCACGCTGCTTGACTGTTGCAGGAAAGGTTATTCCGCCATGCTGAAACCACAATTGGAGTGCTCCACCCACTCCCCCTGAGCAGTCTCCCCTCCCTTGCACTTGTTGCTTGCGGGCCGCATAAGAGCCCTGGATGGGCCGGTTGCGGCCCCCAGGCCTTATGTTTGACACCCCTGCTCTAGTTTTTGGGCAAAACTGTAGTTTGAGCCCAATTTCACCATACAGTTTTGCCCAAAGCGTCGGCAGCACGGTGACATCACTTCTGGGTAACATCATCACACTGCATTTCAGGGCATTTGCGGGTGGGGAAGAGCCCACAAAAGCAGGGGAGACCCCGCCTGGTTGGGGGGCTGGAAACCCTAAAGCCCAGTACTGAATGTGTTGCCTGCTTCATTCTTGAAGGCTCAGGATTGGCAACAACACTATTCTTCTTCTTTAAAAGCACATCAATTACTCTGCCAGGATTCCACAAAAAGCTAAAACAACATAAGCATTGACATTGCCCCATCCCTTCCAACTGAAAATCCCAACTGCACCCTTCTCAATGGTCCTCCAGAAACTGAAAGATGTCACAGTGTATCTGAAAGAAAGACAGGCTTGACTCAAGGATGATGCTCTCAGTGGACTTAACAAATTGCCTTCTCCCAGGGCCAACATTTACCTATCTAACATCTCTCTATATAATAATTGTGTTTTGGGGTGGCCCTTTGCAGCTCTCCCATTGGCTGTGCAATGCACTCCCTCAGCCACTGGCCTGTCAGCCGCCAGTCAAGAGCAATGCTCCCTGTAAGCTGTGGAGTCTTGTGAGCAAAAATTCTACTTTGTGAGCTACTGGCATTACAGTCGTGAGCGAGCTATTTGGCTACTCCATGAATTAGTTTGCTCTGGAGCCATCCTTCCTGAGCTAAGATAAAAAACTGTGCGCCGGAGGCTAAAAAACTGTGAGCTAACTCACACTAACTCAGCTTAGAGGGAACATTGCTCAAGAGTATTCACGTGCCATTGGCCGGGTCTGCTCCTCTTCCCTAGCCACTCCCCCTTCAGCCACTGTGTTCTGTCAGAATTACTCACAAACGGCTTTCTCTCTTGACGAAGACACTTCTCTTGCTTGCCTCCTGTGTGGGAGTAACTTTTCCCTCAGTGGCTGTTGGTAGGTGTAACAAAATGGCAGTTACCTGTGTTTGTAAGATGGCTACCATGTGGTTGTTTGTTTAAAAAGTTCCCCCATAAGGTTTAATTGAGCTGTAGTTCCAGAGAGGGACCTGAAGGCGTATCACTCACTGGGTTGAATGGGGCTTCCTCATCTGTTGGCCTACAGTTCCCAGCTGCCCCAAGGCCAAAAACTGTGGGAAAAGAGAGACTGTCCCAAGGGGTGGGGCGGCATCCCATCAATATAGGCTGCAGCCAATCCAGGTAAGAGGCAGTCTTCAACCCTGGGAGGTAGCAGAAATTCAGCCACTCCACAGTCAGCTGGACTGGGGAATGAATGGAAGTTTCCCTGCTGTCTTGGCCAAGGAGAGATCCTATCCTGAGCCCACAGAGGTAGAGAATATTGTGTTTAGGGGTAGCCCAGGGAAGAAAGGAAAAGCCAGACCCTTGGGTTGCCAACTTTCCAGGGATCCCCCAAAGATTGGGGATTTCATCTACAAATAGGGAGATTTGGCCAGAGGGATCTCACTGTCCCTCTAAAAAGGCAGTGACAATTCAGTGAGTGGCGGCTGCAAACTTAAGGAGTGAGATACACCCACAGGATGAGGGTGGGAGGCAAACAGCTGAGTTGTAAACTGGAGCCCATTTCGCTACAGTAGGCAACCAAGCTTGGTTCAGACAAAGGAAGGAAACCCTTTGCAGGCCTTTGTGAGGAACTCATTTGGGCCAGTCCTAACTAGGGTTGCCAGCTCCAGGTAGGGAGATTCCTGGAGATTTTCTTGTACAGTCTATGGAAAATAGGCTTTGGGGAGGGGAGAGAACTCAGCTGAACAGAATGCCATAAAGCCCACCTTCCAAAGCAGTTATTTTCTCCGAGGGGGGGGGAGAGAGATCTGTTGCCTGGAGTTCAGTTGTGATACCTGGTGATCTTCAGCCTCCACCTGGAGGTTGGCTACCTTAGGCGTAGCAGTCAGTGCTTCAGAGCAGGGTCTGCTAGATCCAGGTTCTTGCTGTAGAAGCTAAGAGGGTGATTTTGGACCAGACACAGACTTTCAACCTAACCTACCTCACAGGGTTGTTGTGCAGGTCAAAAGGGGGAGAGGATAATGATGTAAGCTGCTTTGGTCCCCATTGCAGAGAAAGACTACTTTTTGTCCTGGGAAACAATTGTTGCCAATCTCCAGGTGAGGGCTGGAGATCACTCAGAATTACAACTGCTCTCCAGATGGCAGCGATCACTTCCCCTGGAGGAAATGGTGGACTCTGTGGCAGTCAGGGCTTCAGACCATGAAAAATGGTGGACTCTGTGGCAGTCAGGGCTTCAGAGCACAGAAGAGGCTGCAGGGGTGTGTGGGGGGGGGGATGGAAAGCTGAAGAGGGAGGGGCAGATAATGGTACGTTGATGCTTGGCTGGGAAGGAGATATGGTTGCCAGCTCCAGGTTGGGAAATTCATAGAGATTTGAGGGGTTGAGCCTGGAGAGGGTGGGGTTTAAGGAGGGGTCGGACCTCAGACAAGTACAATGCCATAGAATCCACTTTCCAAACCAGCCATTTCCTCCTGGGTAACAACTGTTGCCAATCTCCAGGTGAGGGCTGGAGATCACTCAAAATTACAACTGCTCTTCAGGTAGCAGAGATCAGTTTCTCTGGAGAAAATGGTGGACTCTGTGTCATTATACCCTGCTGAGGTCACCACAGCACATTGACGTTGAGTGCCTAAGGCCTTGCCACTCTCCCAGAGCCTCTTTCTAGAGCTCGTTGTATTTATTTCCACAATGGGCCTTAGTTAATATATAAAGAAGGAACAGAAAGTAGGAGTCTGACAGCAAAAGGCATGCAGAGGGGACTGATGCAGAACTCCATCCAACACAATGACCTGTAATTCCAAAGACTTTAGATTTGGAAGAGGAAGAAGCAATTTCCACTAATTTCCACATCCCACTGCAGTCCTCTGAGCTCCTTCAAATTATGATCCTGGGGTTCAGGAACCCATTGGCAAAGGGGACAGAGTAGGAAGATCTGCAGTGAGGGGGGGAATTCAATGGAAATTGTCTGCAATTCTTAAGAAAACATAAGTGTCCTCAAAGCTTCAGAATGTGCTGCTGGATACAGGCACTTACTTCCTGCAGTCAGTTGTTCCAGCATTTTTTCTTGCGTATTGTCCCCAATACTGGGAATGGGCTGGGGACAAAAGTGGTTGGAGCAACAGACACGATTGGTAAAGCATGGCAGATTGAAGAATCAAGGTTCCTCTCCCAGGTACTCCTTTTAGTATTATAAAGCCAACACACCTCACCCAGATTATACATTAAATGGGCAGACATGTGAAAAGAACTATGACCACCATCAACACACAGGACAGCTCTCATTCTGTTGCAAGCACGAACACAGGCCCAGCTTCAGGAATGGGCACCTTCAGGCAGTCACTGCCATGCACCCAGCCCAATATGTATTAGTAAATGAGAGGCTTTGCCAGCCCCCTTCTTGAGCAGTGCCTCTGCTCTCCTTCCATATCTGAGGCACAGGTAGCAGCTAAGAGCAGTAGCAACCAGAAAAGGGGTAGAGGCCTTGCCACCACAGAAGGGAAAGGTGGGCACATACATAATTGCCACAGAAGGGACAGCATCCACTGCTGCCAAGCAGGTGCTCACTTGCTTCCCTGACAAAGTGAGCAGCAACTGCTGCTGTCCTACAACTGAAAGGGTTCAAGGAGGAGTCTCACACAGTGGTAGTGGGAGCCCACCCCACAAAGGCATTTTGCCAAAAGCCCACACAGGGACGTGGAGCCAAAGCAAATCACAGGTGATTCCTTGAAGGACTTCGGTGGTACCCATGCACGGGTGAAGAGAACTGAAGACTTACACTAGAAAAGGTATGTGGATATATATAGTTACATAGACTTACTATAATAACACTGAGGAAACTTGCTCCTTTAGAGAATTAAGCAGGTCCCATGCTTAGCCAACGTCCTATTGACTTAGTATTTTAATTAAAACCTCAGGCTTTACTTGATTCAAGGTAAATTCAGAACCAAGATTACCTGTACAGGGAGTCTACTGCATCTTGATCTAAAAATTCATGATCTTTCCTCACAGTTTTGATATCAATTGGGAACTGCATATCTGCAAAAAAGATTTCATAAATTATTTTCAAAAATGAAACAAATTTTCAATTGTCAAAGCTAGTTATTGCATTAGGTGGATCAACAAATGCCAGCTTCAGGTCAGCTAAATATTTGCAAATAAAACAACATAGGTGCTTACTAATGGAAATTATTAGGATGTATTAATGAATATGTTTTGAAATCAGTGCCTCTATCAATAAAACACAAACTGTTGATAAAAAACTCAACCTTATCTATACTTCCCAGTCTGATAAAAAGAAAGTGTAAAACAGGACTGGCGATGTGAAGCCCACCCATCCCCCAAATTGAAAAACACAGAGGGAAGGGGTTTTCTCTCCCCTCTCCCAGGACTTTTTATTAATTTTTTCAATAGAAAAATGGCACTGAGGGAAAGAACTATGATTATTTTATAGAATGAGTGAAATGTTTTTTAAACCACATAAAGCAAGATACAGTATTATATAATGACCAGCAGGAACCCACAAGGACTTGCAGGAGGACTGTCACTTCCCCTTCCCCCACTGTTTCTTCTTTCCCTTTCCTGAAAGCCCCATAGCTTCTCCCCTTTTCCTACTTGCTTCTCAACCCAGAGATCTCCTAGAATCACAATGGATCTCTCAACTACAGAGATCTGTTCTGCCTTAGGATTGCCAGCTCCAGGTTTGGAAATTCTGGAAGATTTGGGGGTGGAACTTTGTGAAGGGAAGGCTTCGGGAGGGAAGTGAATTTAGTGTGGTATAATGTCATACAGTCCACCCTCTAAAGCAGTCATTTTCTTCAGGGGAACTAATATCAGTCATCTGGAGAGCAGTTGTAATTCTGGGTAGTCTCCAGCCCCTACCTTGAGGCTGGCAACCCTAGTTCCCCTGGAGGAAATGGCTGCTTTGGAGGGTGGAGTCTATGACATTATATCCCCTCTGAAGTACCTCCCCTCCTCAAACCCCACCATCCCCAGGCTCCACCCCCCAATTTTCTAGGAATTTCCTAACCTGAAGTTGGCAACCCTATCCCCTTCTCACCCAACCTACCTTTACCTGCCACTCTGTCTTTAACTTTCATCCCCCCCACAGCCTCTACCTAGAAAAACTATGGCCCAGTTGTGTGGTGCCAGACACTGGGCCAAGACGAACTGCATGGTAGGGAATTCTCACAGACTTGTGAGAGGTGCCTTACTTTCCCCTATATCCCTCTCCCCACACTATTTCCTTTTTCCCTCCTGGCAACCCCCATATTCTCTCCCTTTTACCTTCCTCATTCTCTTCTCAGCCATTCACTAACCTAGCATTTATTTGCCTCCCATCTTCAGTTATATTTATTTATTTTACCCCACTTTCTCCACAGTGGAGACCAAAGCAGCTTACATTATTCTCTTCTCCTTTTTATCCATGCAACAACCCTATGAGGTATGTGGCTGGTCCAAAATCACCCACTGAGCTTCTGTAGCATATGGCGTTTCAAACATGGGTTTCCCAGACCCTACTCTGAAGCTCTAACCACTACACCACACTGGCTAGAGTCCTCCCTCAAAGGCCAAAATAGGCCTTGAAAGTGCCCTGCCTTTCACTAATAGAACTAAGCATGGAATCTGTGGTTGCCTAGCAACAGCCACTGAGGGAATTGGTTGGTTAAAGCTACAGGTGATCCTTTTATCATTTTCAGCTTTTGTAAACTCCCAATGTATTTTTTAAAAAGATTTCAGGTTTTTCTGCAAACCTGGGCCATTGTTCAGGTTTATAGAAAGCTCTGTCTTGCCTGTTCACAGCTACAGATACAGGATTTAAGTATCCAAAGATTTGGTCAATAGCTATTAGTTCCTGTGTAAACTGTAGACACACACATTTTCATTTTGTTTTAAGGTAAATAATTCTGGCAACAATTGTGACAAAAATTAATATGCTATAATGTATTCAATGATAATACATTATTAAAGAGTTCATTATTTTCTACTTAATATCAAAACATGCTTTTAGTTCTATCTGTCACAACTGTATTAGAGAGTCTCCATGCAAATAATATTGTTTCTTTGCTTACTACAGAAACTTTTCTATCTTCAAGTATTACTTTTCCTGCCCTCTCATATGGCAAAATTAACATACACATACTATGGTAGTATAAGGTACAGAAGTTTACAACTCTTTCTCAAGTAATGGGTATGCTTGCAATTTTTCAGCTCATTCACTCGCACACTAACTGCCTCAATACACTTCTGCTTCTCCCTCCTGCCTCTTCCTTCCTTCTTCCTTCTCTAGCTCAGCTAAGCTCTTCAGCCTGACTCTAAAGCTGTGTTGCAATGGTCAGACAGTTGGACTAGGATTTGGGAAACCCAGGTTCGAACCCCCACTCTGCCATGGAAGCTTGCTGAGTGACCTTGGGCCAGTCACGCACTGTCAGACAAACCCTCCTCAAGTAGTAGTTTCGAAGATAAAATGGGAGACAGGAGAATGATGTAGGCTGCTTTGGGGTCCTCACTGGGGAGAAAGGCAGGGTAATAATGAAATAAATAAATAATTATCTTGTCTGCTTTCCACATTGGTTTCTCCTTCTCTATAAACAACTTCTATCAACTTAAATTTCTTCCTGCCCTTCACTCCAGTCATGCCTCTCCACACTCCTTGCACTTATCTGTCCTTAAAGTACAAGATTACTACCTCCATTTCACAACTTCAGCAGTCCCTCCACTGATGCCATTAACACTGACCTCTCTCCTTAAATTGAATATAAAAGCCTGATAACTCCTCACTGTTCACTATTTAACTGGTCCTGCATATCTGCCCTTTCCTCCAGTCTTCTTTCTTTGTGTTTGTTACCTGGCTTGGGCACAAGCCTGAGGGCAGGGTCTGTGTCTTTTTTCTTGTAAGACAAGGATCTATCCTTTTTGAGCTTTCCAGAAATCTGGGACTAGAAGAAGCTATTTCTGGCACCAGGAAAACTAACACAGTGCCACACCACTCCCAAGCAACATTTAACAGGGAACAGAGACCTAAAGCCCAGCGCTTCCTCTTCCCTATTCAGAAACCCAGTTTTTTTTTTCCTGTGTGTGTGTGTGTGTTAAATGCCATCAAGTCACTTCTGATTTATAGTGACCCTATGAATACATGACCTTCAGATCATCCAATTATAGGGCTGCCAAGTGTGGGCGGCGGGCGTGGAAACCCCTGCTTTGGAGGCCCGATTTCCGTCGCGGCGGAATCGGGCCCCGGGGGGACCCCGCCCCCGGCGTGCGCGTCACTAGGAAGTGACATGGGCATGCTGGGAGCGGGGCCACGTGCTGGCAGCGCGCGCGCATCCGGAGCCAGCTCCCGGAGCCGGAGAAGCCTCCCCCACCGGTGAGTTTGCCAGACTTGGCAACCCTATCCAATTATTAACAGCCTTGCTCAGATCTTGCAAACTGAGGGCCATCTCCTGTTGAGTCTTCCACTTTTCCTGCTGCTTTCAACTTTTCCAATGAGTTTATAGAAAGCTCTGTCTTGCCTGTTCACAGCTACAGATACAGGATTTAAGTATCCAAAGATTTGGTCAATAGCTATTAGTTCCTGTGTAAACTGTAGACACACACATATGACCCACTCAGCAGATGCCACAGTGATCTCTACAAAGGGCAGTTCACCTGGGCAATACAGGCAGGAGAGGCCAAAGTGTTTAGACTTCCACCAGCCAAATGACTGGCGGAACAGCTACATTTTACAGGCCCTGCAGAGTTGCATTAAATCCCACAGGGCCCTGATCTCCAGTGGGAGCATGTTCCACCAAGCCAGAGCCAGGGCAGCCAATACCCTGGCCAAGGCCAAGCAGGGATCTTTCGGGCCAAGGACTACCAGCAGTCATTGTTCGGAAGATCACAAGGCTCTACGGGGCACATAGGGGAAGAGGCAGTCCCACAGATTTGTCAGTCCCAGCCTGCATAAGGCTTTAAAGGTTAGTACCATAACCTTGAACCGGAGCCGGTACTCAATTAGCAGCCAGTGCAATTGGCGTAATACTGGCTGAATGCACACCTACACAGATGTTGCAGTCAGCAGGTGTGCTGCCACATTTTGCATCAGCTGCAGTTTCCAGGTCAGATTCAAGGGCAGCCCCATGTAGGACGTGTTACAGTAATCTAACCTGGAAGTGACCATCTCATGGATCACTATAGCTAAGTCCCCAGAGGAGAGATAGGGAACCAACTGCCCGAGCAGCCGAAGACAGTAAAAGGCCAATCTGACAGCTGAGTCAACCTGGGCCTCCATGGAAAGTGAGGCACCCAGGACCACCCCCAGGCTCTTCACCCTCAGCACCAGTGACAATGGCACCTCAGTTGGGAGCCTGATTCCCAATCCCACCCCCTCTCCATGGCTCAGGTACAGGACTTCCATTTTAATTGGATTTAATCTCAGCTGACTCTTTTTTAGCCACCCAGACACAGCCCCCAATGCCCCATCCAGGATTTCTGGGGCGGAGTCCACCATCAGATAGAGCTGCGTGTCATCAGTGTACTGGTGACAGCCCAGCCCAAACCCCCGGACCAGCTGGGAGAGGGGGCATCTGCTAGAGGATCGCCACCTGTGACACACAAAGGGGTTCACATTCCATAAGGATTTCTTTGTTGTATTTGTTACAAAACTTATTTTTGAATACTTTTTGTTATGTATGTCACAAGACCATTGTGTCTTTTAGTTGGGGTTGTTTGGACAGCTTCATCCCCTGTAGTTTCGGGGTGTGGCTAAAGTGGGAATAGTTTCCTGATACTCATGTTTGTGTTCTGAGACAATAAACTAGCTATGCTTATGGCCTGCTGACCCTCATTCTTACCACTACCAGACATAACAGTTTTCAATTCTTATATATCAAGAATGCCATGGACATAACAGTACCTTCAAACATTTGAGCATACTGAGGGAAACCAGCAGCCTTCAGCCACTCACAGGCTTCCTTGGCCTCAATTTCTGGGGGAGGAAAAATGCAAACCCCTTAAGTTTGATCTTGAACACTCAGCAAGAAAACAAACGATATTAAGTCATATTAAATAGCTCCAAACACATCTTTTCATTACCTGTTGTCTCTAGGGAAAGGACATCATGATTTTTTAAATCTTGTTACATTTCTTTTCAAACACTGTAAGTATCCTATCATAGACAGATGCATTTGGAATGGAATTGCCTGCATATTGGTGGCAAAAATATGATAGTCTCACCTATGCTATACATTTCTAAGCTTTTTAATTCTGGAACATCTTTTTATATATCAGAATAAGTAATCTCAAAACACAGAGAAATCATTTTCAGATGTACTATCTGAAAGAGACATGGTGAGAACAAAGCTAAGAAATACTTGTTGCTCTATAATGCTCAATTCATTGCTCTCTAGAGTATTTTAATAAAACTTTCAGGAAGCAGTGATTCTCCATTATTCAACACCGATTATTTTAGCAGTCTATTATCTGTAATACCTGACTATTTTGTTCAGTTAAACAGATGTTACTCATTTTTTTGTCAATTAATAAAAATCCAATGGTCAATGCTATAACATTCCCACAGGAAAAAGCAAGAAAGCATAACTTCCAAAGAACATTTACCAGATGCCTTAAAAATGTAAACATTTTAATATACATTTGATCGAAAGAGCATAGGCCAGCAGCCTCCAAAGCAAGCAAGTATTGAAAATTACTGTGACCTTTCTGAAGAAGAAATTCAGATTGTATAATTCACGTTATGACCATTGCAGGAGCTGAACTGCCAAGGCTTTGTTTTAAAAAACATTTATATTGCATTAAATAAAAACGACATGCAAGATAGACATGTATTTCTATAGATACACCTCCATTAGCAGATTCCTTCCCAAGTCAGTAAAAGTTTCCATTTGTCTCCAGTATTCCTAATGGTCTTTTTTTATATGTTACCCATAAAAATGTGTATTTCTAATGACCAATAGGTTTAACAACCATTCCACTAATGAAAAGAAAGTAATTTTCTTCTAGCACGGACTCCAAAATATTTTGGCAGCAAACAGCAATCTAAAAGAAGTTAAAAATAGTTACACAGTACCCACCCTATAGTATATAGGTACAAGGCAAATATAGGATCTGTTGTAAAGTAAAACAATGTAACTTATCCAACTTGTTATTTTATTGTTAAAGCAAGAAGGAAAATGTTTTTGTTGAATATGGTAATAATATGTATGTATTGTTGTTTTAAAATTTAAAATTTAATTGAAAAAAAAACATACTCTGCTACAATACCCTGTTTTTCAGCCTGTTATCAACCTTTAAAAGTTGAGGATATGTGTAATCACATCAAAATTAAACTGGATCCCAAATAAATCTTGCCCATTAATATATCCACCCCCACCCACTCTGAGATGTCTTCTCTAGTAGTTCAGGCTCACATGTATAACAATCTCTTATATTACGTAAACCTAATGAAAAAAATAGTACAGCACTGCTAAGAAGACATTCTTCTAAACAAACTACTTAATAGCTGTCCCAGAATTATTGAAATCCTTCATTTCATGTGATCAAAACCTTGCCTCAGAAAATATCTAACATGGAAAAATTGAACTCACAGAGACATTTGAATTTTTACACCAGGAAATACAAGCCCACATTCTAACACCAGTTCTGTAAAGTAGGTATTTAACACTACTTTCACATGCCCATATGAATCTGACCTCCCTAAAATCAACCAGAAGTGGGATTATAATATAAAACTTTGACAATATTTTCATTTTAACTGCAATAATTCTCACTATCCAAATCTCCAGTGTAGTTCCTGAAAATTTAAAGTTAAAGTTAACAGTTTTAGATATATGGCAAAACATATCCCTAGACATTTAACTGGCTTTGGAGCACAATGGACTACTGTTTGAACCATGATCTGGTGATTAACATCTGCAAGGACCTCAATGGTTAATATTTCAGTGTTTTTGAAATATTTTTTTCCTTATTTCCTATCCTGAAGTTAAACTATACCAGTCTAAGATTAGGAAAAGATGGCAAAATGACTATATGTTTTTCTAATGATAAATGTGATGTCATCAGCATGTGAAAACAACTTAGCTCTATCTTCCTTGTGTTTTACTGCATAAAGCCTTTCTGGTGGCAAATGCCCATAACATGCATTTCATCACCCCAAAAGGTGGCACTAATGCTAAAATCTAGTATTGAAGCCTCAATGCTGCTGTTGAAGAAATTGTAAGGTGGACAGGTCGACCCAGTCCAGCATCCTGTCCCACACAATGCTCAACTAGTTTTTCTGGAGGGCCAACACCAGAGCAGAGAGGCTGAGGCCTCCCAGCACTGGCATTCAGAGATTTACTGTCTCCTTTTAGTTTACCATGGTTAGTAGCCATTGATAGAACTATCCTCCATGAATGTCTAATCCTCCATGAATGTCCATCACCACATCCTATGAGAGTGAAGACCACATTTTAATCACTTGAGGTATAAAGAAGTATTTCCTTTTTGTTCATCCTTAATCTAATGCTCATCAGCTTCATTAGATGCCACTGAGTTTGAATATTTGGGGGAAATGACAAAAAGTTCTCTCTGTCCACTTTCTCTGCCCCAGGCATACTTTTGCAAATCTCTATCATGTCCCCCCTTGTTATCTCTTTTCTAAACTGAAAAGCTGCCGATTTTTCAGCCTCTCCACACAGGAAACGTGCTCCAACCCCTTAACAATCTTAGAATCATAGAACGTTAGAGTTGGAAGGAACCTTGCAGGACATCTAGTCCAACCCCCTGCACTCTGCAGGAGCATAGCCGAAAGATAGCTCTACATACCTACAACATACCCAAAAGATGGCCGTCCAGCCTCCGCTTGAAAACGTCCAGCAAAGGAGCATCCACCACCTCCCGAGACAGTCTGTTCCACTGCTCAACCACTCTTACAGTTAGGAAGCTTCTCCTGATATTTAGCCGGTAACAACTCCCTTGTAATTTCCACCCATTAGATCTAGTCTTGCAATCCAGAGCAAGAGAGAATAGATCTGCTCCATCTTCTACACGACAGCCCTTCAAAAACCTGAAGACTGCAATCCTGTTCCCTCTAAGCCTTCTCTTTCCCAGGCTAAACATACCCAACTCTTTCAGCCTTTCCTCATAAGACTTTGATTCCAACCCTCTCACCATCCTGGTTGCCCTCTTCTGGACACACTCGAGTTTGTCAACATCCTCCTAAAATGTGGTGCCGAAAACTGGACACAGGTACTCCAGGTGAGGCCTCACCATAGCAGAATAGAGTGGAATTACCACCTCCCTTGATCTGGACACAATACTTCTGTTAATGCATCCTAAGATTGCCTTAGCTTTCTTCGCAGTCACATCACACTGCAGACTCATGTTTAGCTTGTGATCAACCAGAACACCCAAATCCCTTTCACATGTGCTGCTGTCAAGCCTGATTGTCTTCTGTACTTTTTCCAGTCCTGCAATATCCATTTTGAGATACAGTGACCGAAACTGCACGCACTGTTCCAAACGAGGCTGCACCATAAATCTATACTGGGCCATCATAATATTGGCTGTTCTGTTTTCAATCAATCAATCCCTTTCACCAGTTTGGTGTAAGACCCAGTCTGATGTAGTGGTTAAGTACGCGGACTCTAATATGGGAGAACTAGGTTTGATTCCCCACTCCTCCATTTGCAGCTGCTGGATGACCTTGGGCAAACCATAGTTCTTCTGTCAGAGCTGTTCTTGAAAAAGAGCAGTTTCTGTCAGAGCTCTCTCAGCCCCACCTACCTCATAGGGTGTCTGTTGTGGGGAGGGGAAGGGAAAGGAGTTTGTAAGCTGCTCTGAGACTGAGTCTTATTGCCAAATGCTATTTTGAAACTTATTTTACAGAAGACATGTTTTCTTAAGCAGAAGACAAAAATAAAAAAGGAAGATTCTTGCATAGTCTATTTTCAGACTGGCTTTCCTTTCTAAATATCTGAAGAAGTAAGCTCACAAAAAATTCAATTGCTGTTAGGCTTTAAAGTGGCACTGGATTTTTATTTTTCAAAATCTACTCCAACACCATGTTCTTTTTTAATTTCCCCTTTGAGTTGGGTTGAACAAGATTTGCTTTAAAAAAATAGATGACAGCTCCTTATGCTTTACAGATTACTGGCATATGGTGTGAGGTTCCAAAACCAGCTCCAAGATTACCCCCCCCCATTTGCATGCAAAAACAGATTTCCTGGCTTTCTAAACATCTGAATAGTTGAAAAGTTTTCACTTCCTGCAAAACTGCTGACCTCATTACTCTGTCCAAGATTAAACTTCAGCAAGTTCAAAATGAATTGTTCTCCCTTACAAAACAGTAATTTCTAGTTCTGAGAAGCATCATAAAACTTGGCAAATTTTGCTTTTTGAGAATGTTAAACAGAGATCATAAAGAATAAAAACTTGAGAATGATGCTACCAGGTCAGATCAACCTGTACTAAGAATATAGGAGTGTTCTTTCTATTCTTTTCAGCATCACGGAAGATACCAAATCTGCGCTCACCTTCAGTGAAATTTGCAGACAAAAATAAAACTTGTGATTAAAAAAAATTAAACTACATGCAATAAAGGATTATATTCACACCTGCTTCCATCCCACTGATTGCAAATAGCCATTCATTTGGATGTGTTATTATAAATACTGTCAGAAAACCACTAAACAAAGAAATAGCTAGGAGTGGCATTCCAGATTGTATTGCTTTAAAACAATTTATTTTTAAAAGATTATATCCTGCCACTTCTTTGGTTGGATCTTGCTGAGGATTTCCATGGGGAAAAAAAATGGGGGAAAAGATGAATTATTTTCACCAATCCTTCCTACCACTGCAGACTTCAAGATCAGCATTTTGAAGTGAGATTCGCTCACTCCACTGATATATTTCTGTCAGTAGATATATTCCACAGGATCCAAGAAGTGCTCACAAGGTGGCTTACAACCAGTTCCTTAGAATATCTCATACCAAAAACACAGAGTTAAAGAATGAACAAATCCATACATTTCTAAAATAACCACAATACTCAGAGCACAAATGCCCTCTGAACAAGAACTGTCTTGCACCATGTTTGAAAAAATAACTAATGAGAACACCGTTTGAACTCCTCAAGAAACCCATTCCAGAGCATGGGGGCTATTAACAGAAAACACCCTAACCTAGCTAGGAGGTTTGCACCTGTCAAGCAGAGGGTATAAACAAAAGAGAGGACCTAAGCAAATAATTGATAGTTATCTCCAGAAGTTATATGTTCAAGGCTACCCAATAGAGCTGAAAGGAACCACACAAATACACACCAAATATTACATGGGCAACATATGTGTCTGGGATAGGGGCATGATTCTACTTGCATCTGATTCATTAAAGTTCAGTAAAGTTCATTACTTGGTGCTAGAACCATACATTACTGTTATTAAACCAAGACATCAGTTTTATCAGCTGCACAGAAACACATTTTGACATCTTCACTCTCAGTATCTCCGTGCTAATAACCATAAGGTTTCTTCCCTCCACCCTTGATATATTAATTTTACTATGGGAGCAAAACAAAAAATGTTAAACACCATAAAACAAAATTACTCAGTGCTGCTTGCTCTATTTAAACACAGAAAGGCAAGCTGTCCCAGAAGTAAAGCCAAGGCTTTTGCCATCAGCTCCTCCTGTTCTTGGCATCGACCCTATTGTTCTTCCCTAATGCCCTCCATCTGCTCCTGAACCAGAGACAACATGCATGGGATCTGCTTGGCAGCTGCAGCAACCAGATGCCAAACTTAGGAATGCATGTCTCCTATAGGACCAGAGTTTCTCATCAGCAACTGCACTGACAGATGCTTTATGCAGCCTCCTGCTGTATGGTTCATTGTTGGCTCTGGCTGCAGCTGGGCAGTTGATACAAAAGCCAACACAAGGTCATGTTGCAGAGCTAAGCTATTAATCTTTCATGTACATCTGTTATCTGTTCCTTACTACAGTCAAATTCATATAGCCTATTAGACACTCATGTATATGCTCACTACCCAGCTTTCCTTGCCTCCATGCAGCCCTGTTACCTAAAATGGCTACTTAGCAATAACAGTGGGCCATCTAAACAGACACACAAACAAAGAGACCAGACCCTACCTCTAATCAAGATGCCAAATTTGTCCCCATATAGATTCAGGAATTACTGTAACATCAGATATACCATACTGAACTCACCTTGCAATGCAATACATGCCACTATATACACTCTTCTGCTCTCTACACAGAACAAATATGTCAACGTCCAAGCAGGGGGGGGGCACACAAATCTGACATTAAAAAAACCCTAGTTAACTAATTTTTCAATCACCTTTCCCAAAGCCACTATTCTCCCAAAAGAAGAAGAGGAGATTGGATTTATACCACATGGAGTCTCAGAGCTGCTTACAAACTCCTTTCCCCTCCCCACAACAGACACCCTGTGAGGTAGGTGGGGCTGAGAGAGCTCTTTCAAGAACTGCCCTTTCAAGGACAGCTCTTGTCAGAACTACGGCTTGCCCAAGGTCATCCAGCAACTGCAAGTGGAGGGGCGGGGAATCGAACCTAGTTCTCCAGATTAGAGTCCACACACTTAACCAAAGAACATTCAGCACAAAACTGATGAATTACAATTCATCAAGAAGTTGATATCTTCTCTTCAACCCATCAAGAACCTGAAGATACAAAACTAGGGGAAATGGGTGTTATCACTGACTACTGCTACTTACTGCTGGTCTCTCTGCTTTTCTTCATTACTTTGAATTTTCTGTTCTTACATGTGAAAGATTTTTTTGACCTTGCTATTTACAGCTTTTTCTTTTCAAACCCTTATTTTGTGGGTCTCACTTTGAAGAAAGAGTTGGATAGAGCCATTGCGTGATAAAATTGTGTATCTGCCTAATGAGGACACATTACACACATTTCACAAAGTTCACAAAAACTAGAATTAGTTAGCCATGACACTCCTCATTTTTTTGTGTAGCAGCTACTTCTCTACAAGAGTAAAAAAGTGAAAATATAACTTCATGTCATTTCCATGGACTCCCCCCCCCCAACTGTCTGGATTGCAAAACATGAACTTTTTTTAAGGAAACAGTACACGCTCACACCCCCCCAAGTTAAGCTGGACTCCTTACACAAGGCTGTACCACTGAGCTAAATTCTTTTGTTGAGTTAAAACTGTTTAAAAAACACGTTAATGCCAGACCTTTTTTTTTTTAAGGAAACAGTACACGCTCCTATAGTCAAAAGCTTGCCTTCAAGAATAACTACCAACAAATGCCCAGTTCACAAATAAGTCAACAAAGTTGAATGGAATGCAAAATATTCTTGGACGATGCAGCTATAAGAGAAAAACAGATCTCAACAGCAGCTTTTCATGTAAACCGTTTCTACACGTACTGAAATGAAAATTCCCCCGGGGACCAATTTATGACCAAATGCATAACCATGAGCACAAGGCTATCCACTCGCCAACCATTAGCATAAGGCAGAAAGCGACTCCCGGACGATGATCGTCAAGGTCCTCAACCTGGGCACTGCTCTCTCTCTGCACACCTCCTTGGTTCAAAAAGGAGCCACAGGATCACATACAGTTGCTTCTACCCTCCTATCACTTGGTAACACCCCCCCCCCCGGTCATGTTTTCAGAGTTACACCCAAGGGTATCCCTTGCCCGGTCATTTATGCACAAATCCCAACGCCTTGAGTCACCCGCAACGAGCTCAAAGCCATTCACGACACTCACGTGTGAGGATCATCTTGGCTCGGCGCTCCGTTAACCGTGGTGACTGCGGACGCCCCGGTTTCACTCTCCAGCCAGCCTTTTCTCCATTCCCACGGGATGAGAAACTCGGCGGCTCACCAATCCTCAAGTCGGGGTAAAATCCTGGGGTTTTGGGGGGTGTTGTTGTTTACAGTAGCGGCAGTGCAAGCGGCGCCTCCAACCGGAGCATGTGGCGCCAAGCACGCTTTCCCAACCCTGGGAGTGCAGGCATCTGCCGACCCAGGGCTCGCGCCAACCTAATAAGCAGTACTCGCGCGCGCCCTCCTAGCTGAGAGAATGAAGCGCCGGGTTCCCTTAGCTCCACCCACGCCGGCTGCCAGTTCTGGGTTGACTGCATCAGCTGTGCGTCGGGTTCCCAGGCACTGGACGACCTTTCATATCCAGAAAAAAAGGAGCGGGTAGGAACAGCAAACGAGACACACCGCACCATTATATTCAGAATGTCTTCAAATTGGAGTCACCATTGGACTGCACTGCCCCTCTTCTAGATATAATTGGTGGGCACTAGGCAGATAATTTAAAATATTACCTGCGCCATTCCGTTGGAGCATTAATACGCAGTTGAGGGGAGAAAACGAGCTGAGTTTTATTTCCTGTTAAAAGCAAACACGGCTTTGGAACTGTTGTGTACCGAGCCTCAGCTTGGAGTCACAGAATGATAGACTGCTAGGATCCTGGGACAAACCTATGGCCCAGGAGGACCTCTGTAAATAACCTATCACCGGTAGTGGGTGTGTGTGGGGTGGGGTGTTGGGTGCAAATTTAAGCAGGGCTCTGGTCCTGGTAGTTTGTCTTCCAGTTGAGCTGTTATCACAATAAAGCATGAGCTGATCACGAACGCATGTGGAACCCAGTATATATTTCAGGAACCAAATCCCTTTACTCTTTCATTTTTCAGAAATAATGTTCCTTATCCCAACGGGCCACTAGCTTGTTTCACTATTGAAATTCGTAGAGATCTCCCCACCACTTTTCATAAAGTACACCCCAACTAGTTGCAATCCAAGCGGTTGCTTTGGAATAGCTATTTTTAAGTTTGGCCACAAAGCAGCGGACAATGCAGGAGTTTATATCCCAGCATTCATCCCCTGCAAAGGATTCAGGAGGACAGAGCCTGATGGTGGCAGGTCACGAAATGGTGCAGCAAAAGCCCTGGGCGATGTTCCTTTTCATACAAGATGGAGCAGCAGCTGCAACATTGCTGCCCTGTGTATACCTAACATAGAGCCACAGCGAAACCTGGCTGTCCCAGAGGTGTACCCGTATTATCAGAAATGTGTGCTGTGTTTACACTTACATTTTTAGGTAAGGTAAGGTAACCACCCACCCTCTGGTTGCCAGCAACCTATCCCCCTTTCTCCCAATTTGTGGGAACAACATCCTATCCTGTTTATACTGCCCTTCCTCTGAAGAACTTGGGATGATACAATGTGGCTCTCCCCACCTCCATTTTATCACCACAACCCTGGGAGGAAGTTAACTGACAGGTGATGGCTTGGCTTGTAGGGTTGCCAGCTGCGGGTTGGAAAATACCTGGAGATATTGGGGATGGGGCTTGAGGTGGGCAGGGTTTGGGGAGGAGACGGACTTCAATGGGGCATAATGCCATTAGAGTCCACTTTCCCAAGTGGCTATTTTCTCCAGGTGAATTGATCTCTGTCACCTGGAGATCAGTTGTAATACCAGGAGATCTCCAACCACCACCTAGAGGTTGGCAACTCTGCTGACTAGGCTAAAGCCGCTCAGTAAATTTTGTGGCCAAATGGGGATTTTAATCCAAAACTCCTTAGTCCTGGTCTAATACTATTGCTACACCACACTTCTGTAATTCACTTCCTAGCATTTTCTTATTTAAGCTATTTATTACTCTGCTTTCCTCTCCAACATTGAGCCAACAATTGACAGTGAAAGACAATAGAAAAGCACCTTAAAGACTAACAAAATTTGTGGTAGAGTATTATCTTTCATGAGTCACTGCTCACTTCCTCAGACACAGCAAGAATGTGAGTCCATCTGTCCTATCTATTGGAAAGTGGAATGATTTCAGATGCTGAATGACATTAGCAGGCAAATGACAATAGCAGTTGTGATTGGATTAGGTGTGATATGCAGAATTGGTAATGAGACAGGAAACCTAGGTCTCGATTCAATCTAGGTGGATGTATTGTCTTGTGCTTTGTTATCAGTTGCAATTCAGCAGTCTCTCTGCTAAATTTATTTTTATATTTTTCTAACTTTTGAGAAACCTTTTTTATCTAAAATATGCCTAAAGGTACAAAAATATACCCAGCTATAATTGAGAATAAACTGTTTCTGGGTTGCAAATAGGGTTGCCATCAGGCCGGGGGGGGGGGGGGGCACCCGTGCCCCTTAAATAGCTGTTTATATGTTGAAATGTGCAGTTGAGGCTTTTCATGGCAGGGTGGTAAATAACACCCCATTAAGCCTCTATTAAAGGAACAGGACTTTCCCCCCTAGGCCTATTGGCAAGGTTATCAAGAGTGGGAAAGATCTCTGCCTGAGACCTTCAAGAGTCACTACCAGTCAAACACAGTTTAAGGCTAAAGCAGTCTATGATCTGATTCATGTAGCTTGGCTGGGCACCCCCATGCACACACCTCAGGGCAGGCAGGCTGGCTGTAGCAGTGGCATTATAGCAGTTGCCCCCACCAGGCCCCTCCTTTCTCTGCTGCTGCATGCCACAATGGAGTCCACTGTTTGGTGTTGCCTCAGCTGTGGTGAAAACTGGCACCCTAAGGCGATGGCCTGGGTCTGCCTAGTGAGTGGTCTGGCCCCGCTTGCTTTTTAAACTGGGTTAATGGACCTTCCATAGCAAATTAAAGTGAACACATGAATCTGCCTTATACTGAATCAGACCCTTGGTCCATCGAAGTCAGCATTGCCCCCTTAGACTGGCAGCCACTCTCCAGGGCCTCAGGCTTTCACATCCCCTGCTGCCAGACCCTTTAACTGGAGATGCCAGGGATTGAACGCGGGACCTTCTGCATGCCAAGCAGATGCTCTACCGCTGAACCACAGCTCCTCCCCACAGTGCTCTGTGAATTCAGGAGATATGCATACATTCATTCTATCACCACCACATACAAATCAAATTGAATTTGGGAAATCATCAAATGACAATTCACAGTTCCAGAAAGCCCATGGCCAGCCTCCCTCTCCCCCCTCCCCGAGTTTCCTAGTCATACATGTATTTGTGTTGTATGTGCGTGAAGGCTTATTGAGCAACTCCACTGATTTCACCGGAATAATTATTTTTGAAAATTAACTTATAATAGCTTTGATTGACCGAAGCACAAGTTTAAAACACCTAGGTTCCAAAATATGTTTCCCAAACACAAGTGAGATAGGCATCAAATAAGCAGCAGCAAGACTCTTGAGCATAGGAAATACATTTCCCCCGCTTGCCATACTGTTCCAACATCCAGACATGTGGTACCATAAATTCCTAGTGTTTGTTTTTAAAAGAAAGCAGATTTTAAAGTGTTACTGTTTTCAATTTTTAATGAGATAAAACCACACAATAGGTTGGATCCAAAGGTGTAATTCCTCCAGTTTAATGGGGGTTATGCTGGCAGAACAAAGTTCCATTGATGGAGGATGGAAAGGTGATTTTTAACAAATTCTCCCCTCGCAGTTTATATCCCCCACTTTGCCCCCTCTGAAGTTTTCCTGACCTTCCTCAAGGTCACCTTGGAAAGGGCTATAAGGAATGTGGAGGGGGGAGCAGGAGAGTCTAGCTCCACCAGCTACTATCCATGGGCAGGGTTTTGAATCCAAACCAACATATTAAATCAAACACACAGCTAAAAGCATGCAAAGAGGAGAGTGGGGTGGAAGGCTTATTTTCCCAGGATGAGTATAACATGCAGAATATAAATGAAAACAAGATCCATTTGAAAGAGTACTCAGCTCAATGAGATCATAAAAATTAAATGGCTTTGTATACTATTTGTAGCCCTCTTACATTGTTATGTCCCTTCATCCTATTGATTACAGCATTGCTATCATTGTCATCAGTAATATAAGAGTAACCACCACAGCTGTTCTTAAAGTAAAAATGGTGTTGTTGTTGTTGTGGGGAGTGGGATTTGATCTTCAGAATAACCTGATCTGGATAGCCCAGACTAGTCTGATCATGCCAGATCTCAGAAGCCAAGCAGAGTTGGCCCTGGTTAGTACTTGGATGTGTGGGACCACCAAGGAACTCTAGGGGTCACTAAGCTGAGGCAGGCAATGGCAAAACCACTCTGAATGTCTTTTGCCTTGAAAACCCTACAGGGTGAGCTGACAGCACTTTAACCACCATATCCTAGATGGGGCGTTTAAACTTTGTTGAGAATCTTCCCTGCCCCTTGTCTGAACTGCCCCCCCCTCAATGAAATGGTATTCCTAAAAGTGATTCAGATTTTGTATTGTGTTTAGAGCACCTGAGCACAATTTCTGTATGGCGTGGCACTGCAATACTCCTCCTCTGCATGCAATGTTCCCCTGTAGCTATTATTATTAGGCAGATATTGCACTGAAATCACTTGTTTCACAAAATCCAGCATAAATGTCTTAATTTTATCTGATCTGGTCTGAATCTTGAGTCAAATTGATTTAACGAAGTTGAGCTTGGTACTTAGTGACAAAAATGAGTGGAAGTTTACTTGTTGACCAAAATTCCATGACTAATACATGGATTAAGAGGGTAATTACTTTAAGCCTACCATTCATGGTTAGAATACACTCACTGCTGGCAATTTTCCAAGTGATTCTATTTACACCTAATTGCCACTAAGAATTCTCCTTTGCCCAGTACAATTAACCTCCCAATGACCTGAGCCCTGTTTTGTTTTGTTTTTTGCTATCAATGACTTGCCTTCTGTATGCTCAACATGAATCCAGCTGGAAAGTTCTGCAACTATTCATATATATTATTGTATGTTTTAAAAGGATGCTATTATATCACTAAGATTTGAATAAGGATTGTTTATTCCACATTAAATAAGCATTATTTTATACACCAGGCAAAAAAGCAAAATGTGTATACAAAATATAACACATAATTATTCACTTATCTGTCTCCAGTTTTAACCACATTCATAACAAATCCTCCCAAATCTTAGACTTTTCACAGAACAGGTTTTTTTAAAAAATTAACACTAAGAATATATCTATTCTCACATGTTGGTC